TTCAACCAATCAAATACATTATTGACTCATACAATACTCGTTTATACATCTTCGCTTTACCGTTACATATTTCTAATATCTTAACAATAATCAAACATACCTTATTCCGTGACCAGGCCCACAAATAATATTCTCAATCCACAGGTTGGAGGTGCCAGGGCCGATGGATATGCAATCGTCTCCGGTGCCTATCTTGGAGTTTAATATGGTCACATCAGACGATAGTTGGACATGAATGCCATCAGTGTTGGGGCTGTTGCCAGGGGCCAAGACCTTAAGCCCTTTCATTTTGATATTTTGGCAGCCATTTACCACTATGTGGAACATTTGGCTATTAAGTGACGTCAATGCACTGATCACTACATTTTTCGAGTCGGAGAATTCAAGTGTCTGCAACAAATTTAATTAAATGATTATAAAAACTCATCTTCAAGAGAATTTAATAGTATAGGTGTTTGATGAGTTGATAAAGAAGTTTATTGTTGATGCAAAATGAACAAGAGATTAATAAACTATTTTGCATACCGAGGCCCCAGTTGGACAAGTCTTGGCAGAGGTTTTGCAAGCCCATAAACCAGCTCCTTTACCATCGAGAATGCCCCCAGAGATAGYTACTCCATCAACATGCCTAAACGCAATCCAAGCTGCAGAGTTGCCAATGATTCGRAAGTCTGAGGGAGCCAGAAGAGTACCATCAATGCGTATAAAGATGGCGTTGTTCTTACAAGGCCCGTTGAAGGTTCCACTGCGAAGGTAATATCTTCCCTTTGGCACATAAATGGAGGCTGGTTTGACGGAGTTGCATGCATTTACCCATGCAGTTTGAAACGCTTCCGTCGAGTCGGTCTTGCCATCGGGTTTGGCTCCAAAACCAACAACGTTATACGAGAATGCAATGGCAAAGGCCGAGTCGAGAAGTCCAAAAAAGGAAAAGAGAAGAATGAGGGAGGTTGGGAGAGTTGTCATTTTAGTTTTTGTATTGGCAGTGCTTCTTTAGAAATGTAAGAGGAAGGGAGAAGAGAATGAAATAAATTGATGATATGGAAAATGGAGAAGAAGTTGGTTTGTATTTATAGGATTTTGTTGAAGGGAAAGAAGATGAATTTGTGGGCCAAGAGAGACCGAGTAGCGTAAAGAAGAAGAAGAATTCTCTCTCGTTTTTTTTAATATACAATTCTTAAATTAATTAAGACAAAAAAGTAGTAAATTAATATGCACTTTAAAACAATGGTTATAGGTTTAGAAAGTTGTGTATATCCATGTACATAATTTCGTGTACAAGAAGTTTTGTGCGATACATAGAGSAAATGGATGCATTAATTGTTTTTGGAGTTTGCGGCTGTGAAGGATTTCCCTTCCATTTTACTTCAACGCCAGTAGCCGCCATATATCATATAACACATCAATATTATTCATGCATTATTTGCAGATCACCTTCCACTCTCCATTTAATTAATCCACACCAAATTAATTAACTTCTTTTCTATCTTCATTAATTAATGAGTTTCAATACAATTTTTTTTTATTTGTGGAATATTTGTCCCCGTTTAGTACCCATAATATAGCATTCAATTTACTCGTATGGACTTCATATATTTCAGRCCTGTAGCTAAATTTATAACTTAGAGTATTTTTGATAACGATTATGGTTGAAAATTCATTCTATGTTCTTGGAGCGAGATCGGACCCTACATGAATTTTTGTCATGCCGAAGATAGGGAACTGAAAATAAAAGTTCAAAGAGATAAAAT